TTTGGACAGCGCGGGTTTGGCTGTGTTTTTGTGAAGGCAGTACGGCAGGCTGTTGCAAAAGATGCGGGGTTTGTTTGGACTTCTGGTGAGTTTTTCTTCTAGGATGCCCAGTAGTCAGTAGTGCCCTTATTCCCTTTTTGGGGGCTCTAGGTTCCCCTATAAACCCCTTTAAGCAAAAAAGGGCACCCTTTTTAATCCTAGGTTACTGGGCAACCTAGTCTTGTTCAGCTAATAAGGACTTGGAACCTCGCCTGACTGAGTCACGAGGGTCGACAAGCCTTCGCTGTCCTAAAAGCTCTTTGAGAAAACCCCCGAAACCCTAAACCCTAAACCCTAAACCCTAAACCCTAAACCCTAAACCCTAAACCCTAAACCCTAAACCCTAAACCCTAAACCCTAAACCCTAAACCCTAAACCCTAAACCCTAAACCTAAGCCCTTCGGCTCTTGGAGCGACTTGTTGCTTGCGCAGCAAAGCAGCTCAAGCCAGAAATCAGACTGAAGCGCCCAGGCGCTGACTTTGAGGGGCCTGTGTGTCGATTCGACCCTTCAGCGATTGAAGGGTTTAGGGTTTAGGGTTTAGGGTTCAGGGTTTAGGGTTTAGGGTTTGGCGGATGGTCAACAAATCGGCAATGGAACCAGGCCTGGCCTCGGTCCCACGTGCTACAATGACCCGAGCCTCAAGACCCTAATTGACCTAAGGGTTTAGGGTTTAGGGTTTAGGGTTTAGGGTTTAGGGTAATACCCGAATTACTGACCCTAACGACCTGAATAGCCTAGATCAACTCCCCAAAGAGCCCAATACCCCTTTGTCAGAATATACCTTACATCATACCAAGGATCCCTCAGTTTAATGTCTCTTCCTTAGCTACGGGGTCTGGGGCTCTCCGGGTCAAACAAACCTTAACCCTAGACCCTAAACCCTAAACCCTTGGGTTCTTAAGCCCTTAGTAGCAATGCGACCCGCTGGGAATCAGGCAAGAACTGCCAAGCCGGGGATCGGCGAAAGGCGCCCTTCATCGTCCGGAAGAAGCTCCTCGGAGCGTGATTCGTGTCATCCGGAGAGTTCCTAAACCCTAAACCCTGAACCCTAAACCCTAAACCCTAAACCCTGAACCCTGAATTTGGTGCAGCTCTAGTGTCCAGGAGCCTTGAAGGTTCAAGGCTGAAGTCACCATAATGAGTCTAAGGACGCCATGTCATGTCGAGGACAGGTTTACTACCAACTGCTTGAGAACCTCCCAAAAAACACAAATATTCGTCCTTACAAGGGTCATATTTATACATTTATGTTTTCTATTTTTTTTTTGGGGGGGGGGGGGGGGGTCTTAAGCAAATAGTAGTTTAGTCCCTTGAAGCCCCTTTGAACCAAAAAAGGGCACCCTTTTATTACCAGGTTACTCTGGTGTCTAGATGCTACTTACCACGTTTCCTGATCCCCCTAAACCCTAAACCCTAGACCCCAAACCCTAAACCCAATGAATTGGGGTTCAGGGAATCGCAAGCCCCAATCCTTAAGCCCTTTACCTTAGACACCCCGCCCGAAGCCCTCAAAGCCCTAGCCCCTAAACCCCCCAAAAGAATTGCAAAGGCGCTCCTGTTGGTCTTTCATGGGCGCTTTGGGGTTTGGATTTAGGGGGTTTATAGGAATGAGGAGTTTTTTGGTTTTTGGAGTTTTGGAGTTTAGAGCTCCAGCCCTTGCGAGCCAAGGTTTCCGGAGATGTGCAAGGGCATCCCGGAGGATGCATGAAGACACCGGCACGACCACGTGTCTGTGTGGCTGCACGGTAATGTAGACCCCTGGACATGTGACCCTAAACCCTAAGCCCTAAACCCTGAACCCTAAACCTTCTTGCACCAAAAATCTGTGTCAAATATTTAGCCCGAAACCTAAACCCACAAGAGCTCCTTAATAGCCGCTCCCACTCCCCTACTTGGAAGCTCTTCTGATTTGATACGTCTGCCTAGTATCCTCTAATCCCCACTTGAAAAATCCCCATAACCCAACTTTCTCTTACTTACTAAGTTCAAGTATCTGGCGGAAGCCCTAAACACGAAACCCCACACCCTGTGATCCTTGGGCCGATATGTGATGATCTCGATCTGAAGAGCCAGAATTTCAAACTCTAGGCCTGAAGCCTTGCATCTCCTTGGGGGGCCTGTAGGTTGCAATTAAGGTTTGGGGTTTAGGGTTTAGGGTTGAGGTTTTAGGGTTTAGGGTTTAGGGTTTTTGCTACCAAGGTTTGGGGGAACAGGGCCCTGTTAGTTTCAGGGGCATGGGCGCTGGACCCTCCCGGGCGCAAGAGTTGGGACGCTGGGCTTCGGGCACAAGCAGGAAGCCCCCTTGGGGCGACAGTGCTTTCGGTGATGGGGAACCCTAAACCCTTTTTCGCAGGGCAGGCCGTGCCTTCTGCTTTCCGACGCGGAGCTTGCGCCCAACGACGGGAAAAAAGAATACAAGAAAGCCATGCAAGGCGTCTCAAGAGCTTGAAAGGGGATGTAGGATCCAGGGGTGTCGTTTTCATGTGGGGTGTAGGGTTGAATCCTTGGATTCCAGCGCATCTCGGGAGTGTAAGTGCGGAAGCCTGTGAAGCGCCGTGAAGTGTCTTCAGGGTGATTCCAGGGACTCCAGTACCCCTTAATTGAGGAACATTCCTTGAAATGTATGAGGCTTCCTTCATATGGTTTAAGGAGTATTCCTTAATTCCTTTCATAAAATATCAGCAGCTTCCTTCATATGGTTTAAGGGGTATTCCGCAGTATGCCTTAATTCAAGGGTATTGGAGTCATTGGGAAGGCTGCACCGCACGCTTTACCAGGCCTGCCTTCTTGACTGTGGAAGAAATAAGCCTTCTTCGGGGTTTAAGGTTGAGGGTTAGGGTGTGGGATGTTCCCCCCCCCCCCCCCCATATACTAACAGTCCTAAATAGGGATTTTTGTACCCCCTGGTACAATCACAGTGAAGGACTGTTAGTATAGCGGCAAAACTCTAAGTTAAGGTTGTCATTTCTTAGGGTGCCTATTCAAACCCGCGAGAATTGGCAAGCGATCGAGCACGAGTCTCCATTTTTCTTCCGCCCCTAGCCCTGAACACTAAACCCTGAACCCTAAACCCTAAACCCTAAACCCTAGCTATGCATAGTTTGAGAACGCTGTCGGCTGCCGCCAGTCTCTCGAAGGGTGTTGTGTCACTCCAACCGCTCTCTTTGCAGGGGTCCCTTCAAACACATGGCTTGGAGGCTGTTAATTGTCCCAGACGTACTGAATAGTAGAAATGAAACACAGTACAGCATTGCATCTCATACTGCAGCGGAGTCCAGCAGAGACGTAGCAGCAGCTGGGCAAGACATGCCGCGACCAAGATTCGAACGCTGGCTCGCCCTCGCCAGCGCCTGCGCGCTCTCCTTAAACACTAGGACCCAGAGTCCTAGAGTAAGCCCTTATTCTTTTCTTTAGGGTTTAGGTTCCTTACAAGCCCCTTTAAAACCAACAAGGGCACCCAAACGCAATAGGTTGCGGTTCAGGGTGCAGGGTTTGGGGTTCGGGGTTTAGGGTTTAGGGCCTCTGGACTCTGCAACAAGAACTGCTTGGCGTCTAGGGTTTCCATTTGCACCCCTTTTTCCTTCAACAGCAGCCCTTGGGTTTAGGGAGCCGTTTTAAGGACCTGCGACCTTAGGGGTACGAGCCTAAACCCTAAACCCTAAACCCTCTAAACCCTCTAAACCCTCTAAACCCTATAAACCCTAAACCCTAAACCCTTTTGGAAGCCAGGACCTGCGCTCCCCTGGAGCTCGCGGCGATTTCAGGCGGGATCTGCTTCGTTTTTCCGGGAGCAACGTCATGAAGGAAATCACCTTTTCCCCATGACGTAGTAGTCAATATGGTTGAAGAAGTGTTCCTACATGAAGCTATGTTGCGAAGGGCTCATGAGGACGGTTTCCTGGAACCCGTGTTCTTTTTTGTTGTGGGTGCTTTTTTTCGCTGTGGGTGTTTTCTTCAAGGGGCCGCCCCGGTGAGTGAGTGACCTGGCACGTGTCGCCCCCGCACCCGCAGCAAAAAAACGCGCCCCCGCCCCCGCAGAAAAAGAAAAAAAAAAACGCGCCCCCGCACCCGCAGCAAAAAAAAAAAACGCGCCCCCCCCCATCCCCCCCCCTTCCTCCCCACCCCCCAGGTCATTTGTTTTGCAATTTCCTCCCCAACCCCGCCCCCAACGCCCCCCCCTCCTTTACACTGTGCAAGCGTTTTCAAAGCACTGAATCCTTCCCAAGGCCATCATGCGAGCATTGTGTTTGCAAACGGTGGAGGGAGGGCTGCACTCCGCCCGACCCCCCCTCTTTAAAACCGTGCCAGCTCGCTTCTCAGCATATGAATCCTGTCCAAGCCTATCATGCGAGCATTGGGTTTGCGAATGGGGGGCCCCCGCTTCTTAAGCCATGCCAGCTTGCTTCAAATCAAATGAATCGTTTCCGAACCCATCATGAGAGCATTCCCCCCCCGCTTGAAAGGCACACTTGCTTCAATCACACGAATCCCTTCCAAACCAATGATGTGAGGATTGTGTTTTCAAATGCGGCGGTCTGCGCAGCCCCCAACCCCCCTGAAAAAAAAGGGAATATATGCTTGCTTTCCTACGAAAATTCAGACCTTAGAGTGGAAGTTGAATTTTCCGTTTAAAAACAGAGATATAAACGTCTTCTTAGTAAAGAATCGAGAAAACAGAGCTTGTGTTATGAGACATGAACAAAAACACTTGTTGTCTACGAGTCACAGATAGGGATAATGCATGTACTCTTATGACAATACAGAGAATTAGCTTTTCATGTATTCCTCTCTCATGTCTTCCTCGTGAAATAAAGAGAAGAAGGGTTGAAAATTGAGAGGGTCTGGTGAGGCCTATCCAGTTTGAGTTTAGGGACAGGACAGGACAGGTCCTGTTCCCGGTTGGTTGAAACCTTCGTAAAGGAGCTTTTTCCTACAAGGATCGTGAGCAGGCCTATGCTGGAGAGAACTGTGTGGCTGTGCGTGGCTTGTAGATACCCTCAGACATCCATTTTGGGGACCCCATTTGGATATGGCCATGTAAACGTGCACTGGGGGCCCGCGACATAGACACTCATGAACCCGAAGCCCTAAAGCCTGTAAACTTGAAGAAACAAGCCCTCAGGCAGGCCAATCCTTTAAACCCGTATGGACCACCCTGCTGCTAGTAAACAGAGTAGGCCTTTTTGTCCCCCCTTTTTTGGGGGTTTAGGGTTTAGGGTTTAGGGTTTAGGGTTTAGGGTTTAGGGTTTAGGGTTTAGGGTTTAGGGTTTAAGTTTAGGGTGGAACCCGCCAAAGCTCGCGGGGTCAAAACACAGTTCCCTTCGGAGCAAATAGGGGCACCCTTGTTTATTCTCCGAGGCTACTCTGTGGGTCCAAGACTCGATTGTCTAAGGGTAGATACATGGTCCCTGAATATGGTCCCTTACCTTCTTTAAAGGGTTCGGAAGTATGGGCCCCTAGGATGTTGTGGGGTATAGAAGGGGTGCATAAGGGCTCCCCTCTTCAGGGGCCCATATTCAGGGACCATGTATCTACCCTTAGATTCGCCTTAAGACCACATGAATTCCTTCAAGGCCCTTGCGAACCCTAAACGCTAAACCCCTTGCCAACCTCGGAGGACCGCGCACTCCCTCGCGACCGCTGCCAAAAAGTGGCTACTGGGAGGCCCGGCAGGAGGTGAAAGGCACCCGCTTCATCGCCTTTCTCGGGCCCTGCGTGGCTGAAGCCTCCACCATTGGAGCTCCTTTCTGCTGGGGTATAGTAACTAGGGGGTCGGTTATAGTATACCTTAAACCCTACACCTACATCCTAAGCCCTAAGCCCTAACGGGGTACTTCATCCCGTAGCCTCATTAGGTAGACCGGGCTTCGGCGCTGGAGTTTCGCCGCCGAGTTGCGGATCCTCGGGCGCACCACAACTGTTGGGCTGGAGTGGATCTGAATGGGGTTGCCCTTGGCCAAAGTGGCTGGGTCCCGTTGGTTTAGGGTTAAGGTTTTAGGGTTTAGGGTTTAGGGTTTAGGGTTTAGGGTTTAGGGTTTAGGGTTTAGGGTTGGAATGCCGAATTCTACCAGCACACCTGTGAACAACTGCAACTGCAGGAAGAAGGGTAAGCTTACGAACTCCGGACATCATGGGGATAAGATGGTAGACAATTTCTAGTCCTGGTCTTGCGGATCTACTTCAGCTTTTGTTGAACTAGCTTCATTCGCATTACCCAAAGCCCAGGTGATGATGGAGAGCCTTCCGGAACTGCAGGCATGCCAATGCGCAGAGTGCTGGAGTCTGCAGATGTAAGAGGGGTGGTGGTGGTTGTCACCAAGTATCTCGCCCAGCACCTGTGAGCCCAAACCCTAAAGCCTAAACCCTAAACCCTAACCCGAAACCCTGGAAAACATCCTCACTTTGCGGAAGACGCCTTCACCCTCACATCGAAACCCTTCCTCTGGTCGCAGGTCTGTCCATAATACTTCAAACCCTAAACCTAAATCCTAAACGCAAGTGGGATTCCACCGGGCCCTGAGCGAAACCCCCCCCCCCGCCCTCAAAAAAAGAAAAAACAACTAGAGCAGCCCCACGTCCTAAGCTCATAGGCTCCCCCCTACGACCCCCGCCCCCCCCGCTACTATACCTCCCCGCCTCTCCCCTCCCTCCCCCAGGTTCCCCCAAAGGCTGTTGAAGGATAGTAAAGTTCAGCTCATGTTATTTGAGGGGGGAACCTTAGGGGGGTAGTAGGGGCACCCATGATGAGCCCTAAGCCCTAAACCCCATAGAGCTTTCCGACAACTTCAACCTTTGGGCATCTTCCACACCTTCCCTAGGGTTTAGGGTTTAGGGTTCAGGGTTCAGAGTTTAGGGTTTAGGGTTTTGAAAACAGGGTTTGAGTTCTTAGGGTTTACGGCTTCGTAGTCTCAAGGACTACCTGGTACCCCTAAGGTGGGTTGCTGGGAACCCTTTATGAAAGACCCCTAGGGGAATATAAGGGCCATGTTGGGGAAAAAAGGGAAACCTCAAGGGGCACAACCTTCGGGGTACGAGCCTCCATCCCCAGATAGTCAGCCCCATTCTAGGGAACGTTCTCTCTCGTTTCGTTCGGGCCTTCATGTGATGTTCAAAACAAAGGGTAGGTTGGCACGTTTCCTACGTGTCCTTAAATAGGGATGAACCAAAAAGAACCCAATTCTAATCCTGCCCTATTACGGACTGTTAGTATAAGGGGTAACATCCCAAACTAGGGCATGTCGGAGTATACCTGCATCTAGCCCCTGAACATCGCTTTCTGGAAGATTTGGGGTCTAGGGTTTAGGCCCGCAAAGAACTGTTTTTTTAAAGGGTAGGGTTCACGGGCTGCATGCAGAAACCCGAGGCCTAGAACACCCTGAACTTTAAACCCTAAGCCCTAAAACCCCAAACAGGATGCTTGGAGTGTATAATGGACGATTGGAGACTTGGGGTTCCTTTTGGTTCTTTCCCGGCTGCACTTGGAGGTCCGTTTGGTGATTATCAGTAGAGTTAATCAGTATCCTAAATTGGGGTTGTAATTTTTTAAGTTTCTTAAACGAGGTTTCTTACTCAGGTTCATTTGGTCATTATAAGTAGGGTTATTATGTATTGGAAATCAGGTTCGTTTGGTCATTATAGGCAGGGTTTATTCAGTATTTTAAATGAGCCTGTAAGTATAGGTACCATACTTGCAACCCCAAGCCATGAACCTGTAAGCAAGGTACTTTGGCGGCTTTCACTCCGGTACTGGTGGCTTGGTTCGAGAGTACACCGCGGCATGCAAAGCCGTGATGGACGAGGCACGTTGGAGCGAGTTTGTGCGTCGCGTCTGCGTCTTGGTAGCTCAGTGGTGCCCTTTTCCCTTTTTTTGGTTCAAGGTTCCTGTATAAAGTAGTCAGCCCCAAAAAGGCTTCCCTCAATCGAATACCGTTCCTGTGCTACCAAGGCGTTCGTGTCTGCAACATACCCGCTTTCCGGGTCTCGGCGCTGTATGCGCTTCGGGACGCGTCTACCCGGCTGGCGGGGCTCCGTTTCCGTGAGGATGGCGAGGCATCTGCCAACTTTTGGGTCCCTGCTGAAAGTGCAGGGCATTGGTTGTCGAAGTTCGCGGATTTGGGTGAACATGTGGAGGCAGAGCTCTTGGAGAAGGAAGAAGCAGAGGAGGAGGAAGAGGAAGTGGAGTGCGAGGTGGAGGAAGAGGAAGAGGAAGAAGTGGATGAAGAGGGAGAAGAAGCGGAAGAGGGTGCAGGGGACGAAGGCGAAGATGATCCGGAGTTTGCTGAGCGACCTCCTGAGATATCTGAAATAGCTTCCGGCCGAGAGAAGGCCCTCCAAGAAGCGTCAGGTCCTTGGCCCGGAGGACAGATGGTGGACGGATCACAGCGGACAAGAGGCTTGAGGAGCAAGCTTTCCCGACCTCCTCGCAGGGGCCCGACGGATGCGAGCAGCATGTAGAACCCTCGTATCTTTGCAGTACTTTACTGCAGCTTTAGATCCTCACCTTTTTTGGGTTTATTGGGTTTCTTATTAAGGGAGCTAAAAGTTTAATTTGTCCTGAGTGCAGCCAAGGTATCCCTGTCCATGTGCCACAAGAGGGCGGAGGAATCAGGGCATCTGCAGGAATTGACATGAGGGGCCTCACCCTCTGCTTCCGTCAGTGTCAGCTTGCCGCAAAAGTGCACGACGACGACACCTTTTCGACTGCTTGGGCATTCCACAGGACCCTGGGAATGCAAAGGGGATTTTGCAAGTTGTTGTTTTGTGCACGTTTTGTACTTAATAAAATGCAAACCTATATCCCCCTTGGGAATTATTTTGTTATTTTTGTTCATACAAAACCCAAGAGGATAGTTAACACTTTTGTTATTATTAAGGTTCTAAAAGGGGTATAGAAACCAACTCCGAGAGGTTGGTTGGTGAGCATGTCCTGCTGCTGTCGTTCTGTTGCGTCTCGTCTTGTGCTGCCTGCAAGTACGACTACGGCCACGAGAACACGACTACACGTTAAGTACTGGCACTGCTATCATTATCCGATGTATGCGGCCCTAAGCCCTAAACCCTAAACCTTAATTAAGCCCTAAACCCTAAACCCTAATTAAACCCTACACCCTAAACCCTAAGCCCTTTACTCATGGTTGATGTGCCGCCAGGCTATGCGAAGACGACGGCCCGCCACGATCAAGCCCGGCGGCATCTTTACATCGAAGAAGACTCCTGGCAAACCATCGCCCCAGATGGTGAGTTCTCTAAATTCTGTTTAGGGTTTAGGGTTTAGGGTTTTCTTTTTCGCTCCCGCATAGCTGGGTTAGGGCTAGGGCTTAGGGCTTACGGTTTAGGGCCGTTAGGGTTTAGGGTTCCCTTTCTGGGTGCCCTAAATTGTAGCGACCGCCTTACAATAGTTTCCCAAAAGGGCCATAAGTGTGAGAAGTGACCAGATGGCGCCCGAGGACGCAGTGGTGGCTGTCACAGTGCAACTGCCCAAAATCTGAAAGGCGTTTCAAGCGTGAAAATGGGCGCGGCAACTGTCTTTTCGCAAGATGTGGGGTTCCCCCAAAAGTGGAAACACGTCAACGACATACCACACTCCGACACAGGCTTCCGGATCCTTAATGTAAGCGGACCGTGCCGCCTTGAGTAGAGGGTAGGAGTCCCAACACTTTCTTGAAGGTCCTACTATGGTTTAAGGAGTAGTCCTTCAGTACAGACTATTTGAGATTCAGGGCGGGGGGCTGAACTAAAATCGTGGGCCCTTCAAAGGTCTCCATTAGGGCACAGGAATATTTCCTTTAGTTTAGGGGGCCGGACAAAAGGCGCCTATAATTTCGACCAGCCTCCGAAAAGCTCCCCCTCACTCGCCCTCTCGCACTCTGCCTCTACCTTGTAGTTTGGGTTTAGGGTTTAGGGCCCCAAATCGTTATTTCAACCCCAACAGCACGGCATCCCTCGTAGGGACAGGGTTTAGGGTTTAGGGTTTCGGGTTTAGGGTTTAGGGTTTAGGGTTTAGGGTTAGGGGCAGCCGGCCCCTCAGAGAGCCTGGGTTCAAAACAGGGTTAGGGTAGCAGGGTTCAGGGTTCAAAAGGGCTTAAAGGCATTCTTCATTTAGGACGTCTTAGAGTTCCAAGCTTGTGTGTGTGTGTTGACGTCTATTCAGGCTTCAGGCGCTTGCACATTTCGGGCTTTGGCCTTCCTTCAGAGTGGCAGCAGTTTGGTCTTCGAGGCAGACGAAGCGTTCATCTCCGATACAACTCTTAGCATATGAAGCTCCAGATTTGAGGAGTATTATACTCTTTCAAAGCAGAAAGACGATCCAAACCCAGCCTCCAGAAACACGTCCAATGCCCGTCTTGCGACCTCCCTTCCGCAGCGTGGCCCAAGAGAGAGCCAGGAGAACCCTCTGCAGCCCAAAGCCCAAAGCCCGGAACCCCAAAAGGCCCTGGTTTTGGGGTTTAGGGTGTAGGGTTAATCGTGCTTAGGGTTTAGAGTTACTAGAGTTCAGGGTTTAAGGTGGCAAGAAGTATTGGCATGGCCTGGTCCGGCAAGAATGTGCGGCCCAAGCCTTAAGACCCCAAAACCCCAAGCCCTTAACCATACACATGCCAGTCCCGAGCGCTCGATGAAGCTTCCTAGGCCAAACATGCCCCTTCCTTCTACTCACCCAGAGATCGGGGGGGACTGACGTAAAATTGTGGGCCCGCATGGCGGGGGTCCTCCATAGTGTCTTGCTAAGAGTCTTCCTCCGCAGCCCCTGAGTGGGGATTGGGTTCCCGGGTCCTATGAAGCCCCAAAAGCCTGCAACCTCCCCGCTGGCACCCTTATCTGGAAGCAGAGAGCAACCCCCCTTCCCACAGCGTTAGCATCCGCGCCGGCGTGCCCAGCTATGCTTGAGTTTTGGGAAAACTGGGACTGGAGGCACCCCAGACAAAAGGAAGAGATGACGGCTTGGCGTCTTTGTGTCTGGCGATTTCGGGCGTGCCACGAATTGCTTAAGAACCCCAAAAAAACAAATATGCCCATATTAGGGTAATATAGGGATTGTTCTTCTTGTTTTGTTGGGTGGTGCTTCAGCAAACCCTAACCCTAAACCCAAAGCCCTAAACCCGAAACCCCTACACCCCAAACCCTTCAAATGATAGCTTAGAGTTTAGAGTTTTTGCTTGGCAGCTCCGGGAAGCACGGAGGGGTCATCGTGAGAAGCAGCTCTTATGTCGCATGCAGTCTGCGAAAGCCCTGGATCTAGGGTGTAGTTTAGGTGTAGGGTTTAGGGCTTAGGGCTTAGGGTTTAGGGTTTAGGCTGTAGGCTTTCGGCTTTAGGGGTTGGGGGGGGATGCCCATGGAAGCTCAGGTATCTGTGCGCAGGCGCGGGCCTCGCGGACGAGTCGGATGAGACGGATGCCAGGGTGCATGTGAGTATCCCCCTTGGGAATCATTTTTTTTAGTTTTTGTTGATATAAAACCCAAGAGGATATTAATAATATCATTTTTATTAAGGTTCTAAGGGGAGTATGGGTAAGTTCTCTAGATTATTTTGTCCCTTTTCTGGTACCCTAAATAAGAGAGGCCCCCTTATCAGGACCCAAAAGGGACCATAATTTGGAGAAACTACCATCTTAGGGGTCCCTTCTTGGGGTCCTGAATTATAAGGGAATCCGACTATTTTTCAGGGAGGGTTTAGGGTTTAGGGTTTAGGGTTTAGGGTTTAGGGTTTAGGGTTCTTTATTTTGGGCCCCTTATCTTCGTAAACTCCCATGTGAGGTTGCCATAGAGCGCGGCATGAACTCGGGGTCCTGATTGGGTTTAGGGTTTAGGGCTTAGGGTCTAGGGTTTAGGGTATGTGGAATTATCGAGGCGGGCGAAGTCTCTTGGAAAAGGCTATTTTGAATTGAATTTGGGATGTTCCCCCTTGTGCAAACAGTTAAGTAACAGTCCTTGATAGGGGTTATAGGTAGGGTACTATAGTCCCCATTAAGGACTGTTAGTATAAGGAGAACATCCCAAATTTCAGGCATGCATTGCTTAGTTGAACGTGTCTGGCTCGCTAGGTTCTGATTTCGGGAAATATCTTGTGCTCGAACGCAGGAGACTTATCTCAATAGGGAAACCAGCTTTTGCTGAAAGCATGGCAGCCCCTGACGTTCAAGGCCCCATGCCCCTCACAACAGGGTTTAGGATTTCGATCCCTCCGGAAGACCAGGATGAGAGTACCGACGACCCCTCTAGCTCCAGGCACATGGGACGCAAGAGCGTGGGGTCATAGAGCCCAAAACCTCTTAATTAAGCAATATTCCTTAAACCATACAGGGATCCTTAGTATGATTTAAGGAATATTCCTTAATTAAGGGGTATTGGGCTCTTTGGGGGGGTCATAGGGAATGTAAACCCTACGAGGGTTTTCAGGGCTTCTGAAGTTGATGGGGCTTTTCGAAGTTACCGTGTTCAGAAAGTTCTTGGGGCTTGCAAGGCTTTGTCTTGATCCCAATACTCCCAACTAGGGCACATCGAGTAAATTCCACAGACCTCATGATGGCGTACTTGGTGGTTGAGCTAGGTATAACTAGGCTTACATAAATATGGTAACTGTGCGTGTCGCCCTCTAGGGTAGTTATAACCCTACTTCTAGTTCCAAATGAACGTCCAAGTAGCCTCCTTAAAGATAGCGTGCTCTCTTGGTATGTGTATCGGAGTATTAATTAATATATCAAATCATGATGTGTTAAAAGGAATTTTAGAAACATATGCATTTACACCACATTGTTTATATGTATAACATACTAGCAGTGGTGGAATTACCGATTAGTTTATTTACTTGCAAGTCAATGTTTATACATTGTAGACTTCTTACAAGGCCTTGGGGTTTCTAGATCCGGTTTAGGGTTTAGGGTTTAGGGTTTAGGGTTTAGGGTTTAGGGTTTAGGGTTTAGGGTTTAGGGTTTAGGGTTTAGGGTTTAGGGCCCAGGGCTTACGGCCCTCCTAAGCCCCGTTCGGGATGCAGGGCTCAGGGAATCAAGGGATCTTGAGGGTATGTGAGCCCTAAGCCCTAAACCCCATGCCCTACTGTCGACTCGCCCTAAACCCTAAACCCTAAACCCTAAACCCTAAACCCTAAACCCTAAACCCTAAACCCTAAACCCTAAACCCTAAACCCGAATAGCTCAGAAGCCTGACCTAGCCGGGCTTTGGAAAGGAGAAGCCTATGTAGGGGCTATGGGCCTTGGAGGCTTAGGACGTCTTTGGGGTTTAGGGTTTAGGGTTGAGGGACCATGAGCCTTAGGCTTAGGATGTCTTTGGGGTTTAGGGTTTAGGGTTTAGGGACTATAAGGCGTAGAGTCTTGGGATGTCAAGGGACAAGGGACTAAGCTTAGGATGTATGTCTGTATTGACTCTAGGGTTTACAGAATTTATGGCATAGTATCGGGCTTGAGGTTGTCACGCGAAAGACCTGGAGCAAAAGGGGGTTG